ATATATATATATATATCAGTTGAATTAAATATAGAATATAAATGTACAGGGATAAAAGTGCAATAATAATAAAATAAAGTAACATAAGTACCAGAAAATAGATAAGTCAGATCTTCAACCACAAGTAGAATGAATAGCACATGTAGAAGCACAAAACTGGGCAACTTGGGAGAATATACTTATCAGACAAGAGGACCGACAAATAAAAGTTGTGGTCTCTGCCCCGAAAGGCCTTCAGGATGGGGTGCATGAAAGTCATCCCAGCATCCCTGTGAGAAGAACAACAGAGGAGCATATGGCTCAAAGACTCTAATGAACCATCTCCACATGGACATAGGTCCTAGTGCACTGGAGTATTCTTATAGCGTCCAATTGCATTTGCTTCACACTATCCCATGATCCAATGTTACGTGTTGTTGTAATAAGAGAAATTCCTCTTTTCAGCACTGGCACCATCCATGTCCAGACTTTCCTCCTGTTTTGGTCAGGTCTTTACCTCCTGATCTACCTATGAAAGTTCACTGTTCTTCCTCAGTAACTAGAGAAGTGCCTTCCATACTGGGAGTCTCATCACCAGGCAGCCAAATTCATGCAAATGTTTGAACTATGGCTATACTATTTTCTTGGTAACAATACAAAGTGGTTTGCCAATAACTTTTTTCAGGTTTGATTTTGGATTTCCTTCTCTTAGGTGGGTTAGCTTCCTTCATGCCTGCCTCACCCCATTGTGTATTACTCTTAACTTTACCCCCTATGTGTGTGTGTGCATGTGCGCACGTGCACATGCATGCGTGTATATGCATACAATTTTTATTTATTTATTTATTTATTTATTTATTTATTTATTTATTTATTTATCAATCAATCAATCAAATTTGGCCACCCATCTCACAAAATGACTCTGGACAGTGTACAACACTGAATTTAAAAACAATAAATATACAAAAACATTCATTATTAAAAACTATAAAAAGCACACAAACAAGAGAAAATGATGTTGGCTGCAGTAAGGGAGCCATCGCATTACAGCCTTTAACATTATAATACTAAAATGATAGTACACATTGGACTTGTCCCACTGAAATAAAACTATATCCAAGGCCTGAAAACAAGTTGAAGAGTGAAGCATTAAACCAATAAACTAATATGCAGACAATTTTAAAAGATTAACAAATTTATAAGAATATGTCCTTTTTCAGGGTATCATTTTAAATACCAGCTCCAAGTCCAAATAGAATTTATTTACATTTTATTTCTATCACAATAGGTAATTAAATTTACTTCTAGTGTAAATTTCACAAAGTTTCAAAGGTTGTATTCCTAAGAGAAGCAAGATAAAAACTATTTTCTAATATCTGGGAAATCACTGTGTTCATGTCCTAAGAAATGTTTATTTTACATTCCAAGTGCCATGATAGTTCTGTTTTTAAGTCATAAATATATGTGCAAAATATCTTTTATTACATTTAATACAATTCTAAACACACTTCCTATAATAAGACTCATTGAATTCACTTAATCACTGTGACTGATTTCCCCTTGTGCATTCACTGCACATGATCAAATGAAGATCCACTTTTTTGGACAGTTGCCCAGTTGCTACCCTCCCTAGGAGTTAATGAATTCCTGATGCATTCATTCATTCATTCATTCATTCATTCATTCATTCATTCATTCATTCATTCATTTATTTTTAAGCATTAAAATATATACGTTTGCCTGCTCAAGATTTTTGCCACTGGAGAATTGGCACCTCTTCTCTTCCTCTATTTCATCTCTCTATGAGGCTGCAGGGGAATGAAAAGCAAAGAGAAAGTAAAACAGAGTTCCTTGCAACCATTCTAGAACTTTTATCTGGTTGCCAGCCACAGAAAGATAGGGTTAGCCTTCTGTTAACCTTTGTTTCAGTTTGCACAGTGATGAACCAAGGGCTGTTTACAGCTAAAACTAATTCCCTCTAAGTCTGGTGCTAATGGGTTTATGGTGCTTACACAATATACTAACCTCCTCTCTGCCCCAGTTAAGTATGTTGTGCAAACACAGCCCGTGAGTTTGGCTTCATCTACTTTCATCTACCTTCACCTATTTTCTATTTTTTTGTTTAATGTTTTGAAACATTGCTTTAAAAAACATATGTTTTGATAAAATGCACTGCTAGCCCAATTATCAAAATATGGTGTACTTTTTAAAAATTACTATTAACTGTAATTTGCATTTCCCTTCTTGTTTCTAGCTATTTTAATGCAAGGATTTACTTTCTTTATTTAGCCAAAAGAAGAGGCTTTGAATTCAATTTGTCATTTCAACAAGGTTATGGAATCTATAAGATATCCCATGACAACCACCACAGTGATGGGGGCAACTCAATATCCTACCACAGCTTGCTCAACTGTGATTGTGACAATGCAAAAGGAACGCAAAGCAGCAAAATGGAGTTCAGCACCATTTCCCTGGTGGACAGCTCCACACTTAAAAATGTCGCCAATTGCAAAACCATTGACAGCACAGACTCCAGGAAAGACTTGAGCAGGGATAAATTCATAGACTGTCTGATTTCTGATAAAATGTCTCATAAAAAAGAAGAGATCAGGAATATCGAAAAGGGAACTTTTTTTGAAGGACCAGAAAGACGGCTGTCTCACGAGGAGGGCCGAAAACCAGAACTCTCTGACTGGGAGTGGTGCAGAAGTAAGTCGGAAAGGACACCTCGACAGGTAGTGTGTAATTTAGTACTGAATTTTTTTATATTTAAGATGCATAATTTAAGGCCTCTTTAAAACCCTTGAGTGTGACCCCAGAGAACTTTCAAAACTTTCCGATAAAGTACAGTTTTTAAAATGAAACAAAGGAAGGATTCTATTAAGTATAGGGGGAATAACCATAACAATTATATTTACTTAATTTCATACAGCTTAAATGAAAATAAATCAAATTTAGTTATTGTCCTTGACCCACCCACTTCTTTGTCCTGGCCCTGCCTACTTTGGGGAGTGTGCCATTTGAAGGAAAAGTGTTGTTGGCAGCAAAAAGTTGCACACACCTCATTTGTTTGCAAGTGTAATAAGTGCTGAGAATTTGACAGTGTGGTTGGTTCTAAGCCTTTCAAGTGATAACAGTGCCCTTGCTGCTCAGGTTTGTAAGAAACATAACCATTTCCTAAATTACAACTCAGTCAAGGCAATATACTTCAGCATAGTAAAATGCATTCCTATGTATTTCACTAGAAAATAGTAAACCACCGATACTACTGTAATCTATTTTGGCAGTTAAGATGCAAATTGAGAGAGTAGTTCTATATGAATTACTTCTGATTTTATTCAGATATAAGGTAGGGATTCAAAGAAGGCATGATTCAATCTGAATGTGTGGTTTGAGACGGCAAATGTTTAATTCAAGCAGCTTCATGTTTCTGCACCTGATTCAGATAAATAAATATCTATAGGCTATAAAGGGAAGCATCAAAATACCTGCAGCTGCTCCATTTTTTTTTTAAGGAGAATACTATAACAATACCAGGAATGGTAGATCTTTTACAGCAAACTATCTTTGCCAAGTTTGGACTGAATAATTTCACTCCAATGATTTTTAAAAATATATTTCCTTTGTACCTCTCTTAAGGCAGAGGTAGCATGGGAAGGAAATGGCAGAAAAGCAGCTTCCATGTACTCTTGTGAGAAACCTGTAGAAATGTTATGCTGAACCAATGCACCAAGTGACTCCAATTTAAAAAATAAAACCTTCCAAACTTTTTCAAAAAGTATGTTCTTACTTTTCCACTTCCACTTTGATTTGCCAAGCTTGGCAAGACTCTCAATAGAGTACCTATTAACTTGCCTTAATGGTGTGGCTTTCCTGCTTCTCATTTTGGGTTTACAGGATGGCTAGACATGTTGGCATAGTTGATTAGCAAACTTAGCCTCTCATGGGAAGAATTTTGCTGGGTGCCAAGGTGGGTAGACAGCAAAGCCTCTTGACCTCTTCTGAGCAAGACTTGGCTGCTTGTCTGGCAATATTACTTAAGTAGTAGAGGTACCAGAAACAGAGCTCACAGAGAAAAGGCTGGCATAGAGAAAGTGGCATTTGTAGAGTTCATTCACCTCTGCCCCTTATGCTTAAAAGTAGTAAACATTTGGACCAATGCCTATCAATGTTAGCCTTTACTGTTCACTCTTTGAGACTTAATCCAGTCCAAATTAATTTTGAGCCAAGAGTGTTTACTGGATCTATAAGCCTTCAGCCTATAGTCCAAGTAGCTGGAACTCTCTATTAATTTATTTCCAGTTTACATTAAATCAATTTTAATATTTGCCTTGATCCCATGCACCACTCAGTCCTTGCTCTATTTCTGCACTCCAAAGTCAAATGCTGCCTTCAGTTAAAAAAAAGTTTATTCCTACTAAAGAGGATAGTCTTTAAAACAAGCAATGAGAATGAACAAGGTAGATTGTAGACTGTAGACTGGAAGAATAGGTAGAGTGGCAGAACAGAGTACACTGAACAAGATCACTCCAAATAGTGCAACTTTTTTAAAGTTTCCATTTTTTTTAACATGTACTATGGCAATAATTTTTAAAATGGACAGACACACTCTCATGCTTAAAAAGCTGTATTATCCATTAAAGCATTCCAGCCCCAGGTTTCAGAAGAAATTATTTTGGTTTATATAGTTGGACACTGTCCCATAATTTAAACTAAAAATGTGATGGCTCAGTTTCATCCATTTGACAATAATACTCTTGTTCAGGCTGACCTTTATTTGATTTACATGATGATACTTAAATGAAGTTATGTTCTGAGTGCCTTTGAGCTATTTTGTCTCATTGCTATGGCTGCTCAAACACTGCGGCAGTCCTGTAAATATCGACAACTATTAGAAGCCAATTTTTCAGCTTTTGTCTATAATGGAAAGACTCACAAACATTCAAACAAGCCACGACACCCATGCTATTGGTTTCTTTGCTTTTGTTCCAAGATCATATCACCTGCTACAGTCAACCAATGTGTTCTGTTGCATAGTTGTGGTTCTCCCACTAAAAAGCAGAATTCTATGCAAATTTTCTCAGGATGAATTGTACTAGGTTCTGTACTTAAACCCATATTGCTATAAATGTTATCACCTAAGTAACTCTTTGGATTTTGATGTATGAATGTCCTTTAGGACATCAGTTTCTACCATTTCTAACTGGCATGGTCTATTATAGGGGAGTGTCATAACTGTAGTCCAAAACATCTTGATGTTACTGGATTGCCTATTGCAACAGAGAGAACAAAGTAACTGTGATTCAGTATAAGCCAACTTCATATGATTAGAAAGCAGTTTTGGGGCTTCATGTTGTCATTTCTCTGTCCTCCCCTCTCTGCTGAATCAAAGGTTGGTTCCACTGCAGTACAATTTCTTATATAAAAAGTATGGTATTTATGCATCATAATTTGTATGCCACCCAAGTACTCATTTTATTTATTTAATTTATTTATTTAAAAGATTTGTATGGCCGCCCATCTTAAACAATTCTGGGCAGCTCACAACAGCAATAAAACCAAAAAACTATAGAACATGACCATAAAACCATAAGACCGTAGAACCTTAGAACCTTAGAACCTTAGAACCTTAGAACCTTAGAACCTTAGAACCTTAGAACCTTAGAACCTTAAAACCAAAACCTGGTGCCTTAAATCATCCCCTTGGGATGCCCCACAGCCAGCTCCAAATTCATCCTCATCCTTTTCTATCTATTCTATCCCAGCACTGGGCTAAAAAGACAGGTGTTGATGGCCTTCCCAAAGGTTAAAAGGGTGGGGCCTGCTGAACTGCCAGAGGCAGGGTGTTCCATAAGATAGGGGCAGCCATGGAAAAGGCATGTTTCCAAGGTCCCACTACGTGGCAGAATTTCAGGGAAGGGACCTGGAGTGTGCTTACCCTATCTGATCTGGTGGGATGGGCAGATACTCTTAGTGAGAGGTGGTCCCGCAAATAAAGGCAAATAATCAAAACAACTCATGGTAGCTTATATCCATAATATTAAAATCACAACAAAAACAGCATTATACTATATATCCTCCCCCTGTCTCACTTCCACTGAATAGAGACACTTACCTCCAATTAAGTGGTCCCATAGCCTCTGAAAGCTCTTTGGAAATATATAGTCTTAATGGCCTTCTAGAATGGCAACAGGGAAGGGACGATTCTAATCTCAGGGGGCAGGCTATTCTAGAGTGAGAGGGATACAACTATGGAGGTCTGCTTCTGAGCTCCTGCCCCTAAATATGTCAAGGGGAGGGACTTGTAGCATGCTGTATTGGGCAGCATATATGGGGTCGACAGATTCTATTTGGAAGAGATCATTCCCAAGGCAACGAATGAAGGAATGGAGTCATAAAAGGCTTTATGAATTTGGTCAGCACATTGAATTAGACCCAGAAGCCAGCTGACAACCAGTTTGGTCAGCACATTGAATTAGACCCAGAAGCCAACTGACAACCAATGTGGTTCCTTCAATATCCAGCTTATTCTACTAGAGCATCTCTCCCTCTCCCATTGCAAAGCATGCAGCTACATAGCTTCTAAATGATTTAGGAGAGCCACAGGAAGTTGGAGTTGTAATCAGACCATGAGCTGACAAGTGCATGAATTACCATGGTTAGTCCCTCTTGATCCAAAAAGATCATGACACTGTCAAAAAAGTCAGATCGATAGATCGATAGATCGATAGATAGATAGATAGATAGATAGATAGATAGATAGATA